TCTTATAGTGCACACCACACTGTTCCTAACGCCCCACATGTGGTTACCAGCACAAACCACACTGTACCCGCGGTTACAAGCGCCCCCCATGTGGTAACCACGTGGTACCTGGTGGTGGACACGAACGTGTTTCTGGACGTGGCTGAGGTGGCAGCGCTCTATAGGCTCATTGCATGGGGGCTCAGGAACACAGAGAGAGGGATTGGGCACACACAAGGAGTGGGGCAGGCAGGAGGGATCGGGCAGGCAGAAGGGACCAGGCAGGCAGAAGGGACCAGGCACACAGAAGCACAGAGAGGAGGTCTGGCTAGTGGCTCTGCTGTTGGTATTCTACCCACCCCTGTTGCTCCAGCTGCTTCTGCTTTCGCTTCTGCTGCTGCGGCCTCTGCTGCCGCTGCTGCTGGGGCTGCTGCAGCTGCTGCGCCTGGCGCCACTGTTGCTGCTGCCGCAGCTGCTGCAGTGGCTGCGTCGATTGAAGCAGCTGCGGCAGTGGCTGCTGCAGGGAGCAACTGGGCTGGGCTGCTGGGGAGCGTGGCGGACAGCTTTCCCCGCAATGAGAGGGTGGTGGTGGTGCTCCCTCACGCAGGTGCGTGAGTGAGAAAGGAAATGGGAATAGGATCAAGAAGGCAGGTAGAAGGTATGTAAGTGGGTCGAGATGCTAGACGTCTAGCGAGTGTGGCGGACAGCTTTCCTTGCAGTGAGAGGGTGGTGGTGGTGCTCCCTCACGCAGGTAAGAGTCACGATGCATACAGGGGAGTATGTTGAGGTGAGAAGATATGCGAGGATGGGGGCCTGGGCTGGGCTGTGGCGGCGGACAGCTTTCCACGCGATGGGAGGGTGGCGGTGGTGCTCCCGCATGCAGGTGAGTGAGTGGGAGAGGGATTAGAATGGGAATGGGAATGCAGGTAGTATAAGAGGTTCGAAAGGTGAGGTAGCTGGTTGGTGTGGCGAACACTTTCCCTGCAATGAGAGGGTGGCGGTGTTGCTCCCGCGTGCAGGTGAGTGAGTGGGAGAGGAAATGGGAAATGAGAATGGGATTGGGAAGGCAGGTATGAAGGTAAAAAGGGGGTGGGGATGATAGGTGTTTGGGCAGTGTGACGGACATCTTTCTCTGCAATGAGAGGGTGGTGGTGTTGCTCCCTTTGACAGGTAATTGATTTCTTTTGCCTTCCTCCCATCTCCCTCCACCCAAACAATCCCAGTGGTGCGTGGGCTGGATGGGATAAAGGAGGACAAGGAGAGGGCCCGGGGCGTGTGCACATTAGCCTTCATGCCTTCCCCCTTACCTTCCCCCTTGCCTTTTCCCCTGGCCCTGCATTATTTCCCCCCTTTTCTCCCCCTCCCCCCCTTTCCCCAACCCCCTCCTGTAGTGGTGCGTGAGCTGGACGGCATAAAGGAGGACAAGGAGAGGGCGAGGGGTGTGTACGCCCGGAGAGCCCTGCGGCTGTTGAGGGACGCCCTGACCAGCAGAGCCCCGTGGCTCAGAGCCCAGGCCGCCCACGAGAAGGCTGAAGTGACTGGAAGCAGTAGCAGCAGCAGCGCTGGCAGCAGTGGTGGCAGCTGTCAGAGGCTGTCGGCTGATGATGCGGTGCTGTCTTGCTGCCTCTACTACCACCAGTTTGTTGCTCCTGGCGCTGTGGTGCTGCTTACTGGGGATATTGCGCTGCAAGTCAAGGTGAGGATACAAACCAAGACAATAAAATTCCCTGCTTTTCTTCGTACAATTTACTCTGGATGTTTGAAGGAATTTCCCTCCCTCATTTCCCTTCACAGGCACTTATGGAAGGAGTGACCATGGTTCACAAAGCGTCTGCTTTTGTGGCTGAGCGTGTGGGATTTGCTCTAGCTGCTGCAAAGTGATTGAATCAAGCTCGAAGATCATACCGGTAACTTTTTTTCCAATTGCTTCCATGTTCCACTATGACTAATTATTTAGATGGTCTTTAATCATTTCTTATGGTTGTTACCAGTATTTGTCGCGTTTCGCAAAAAAATGGCGCCATTCACTAAATTTTGGAAGCAGTTCTACAGGTTTAGGGTTGGTGAAGTGGTATAGTTTGGATTGGAATTAAGATGGAAATGCGTCTGATTTCTATGAGCATATAACGTGGAATACATTAGGAAACGGCATCCATTTCCGTAACGCGTACGCCTGAAACACCAGCTTCAGGCAGGCTCAAGCCTCGCATGTCCCTGCTCAAAGCTCTGAGATTTTCTTCCACTCCACATCCACACACCAAGCAGGTTCCAGTTCGAATTTCGCATTCCTCCTGATGCACTGATCCCATACTCACTAGCAGTCTCTAAAAGATTGTTAACTTTCGCTGCATTCTCTTTCCATCACCTTGAGACTCGTAAGGGATTATATGCAACTTGCAGATGGTGAAGCGAAGGCGTGGAGGTGGATGGGGAGGGCTAGAACGCGTGAGCTCGTTGAAAGATGTACGTACCACTTGAATCCTCGACTCAGTTTTTTGTCTTGGAGCGAGGTTTCTGTAGTAACTTTTCCAATGTGAACAGAAATTGCCGCTTCCTCGTCAAGGGCCAATACGGAGCTTTATCTCCTCGCGGAACGTAGTCAAGCCCTCGTACAATGTGGATTATGCGAACAAGACAGTTGAACAAGGCACGACGTTCCGATTTCAGAAGCGTAGCTTGGAAAAGCACACGCCATTGCGAATCCCAAAGCCAGCAGGTGTGGGATATTTCACAAGTGCACGTATTTTACCAGCTGTTGCGATAGAGTTTTCTGTTTTTTCTCTGATTGAGTGTTGTATAGTTACTTCGCGCGAGGGATGTTCTTCATTGGACGTCAGGCTCGGGAACAACCAGAACGAAAATAGGTCAGGAGGCCGCGGTTGTGATCATTCTCAGATGCACTGTAATACCGTACTAATGATGTAATGCAATGCAGGGTGCATTCGAGAGATAACCAGTGTATCACACCTCGTAAGCGACCTTCTTTTAATCTGTATCCTCCTGCATCTAATGTTTCTGAGCATATTCTGTGTGACATGCAGAAGTCGTCATCACCATGAAAACCCACACTGCGCTTCCCAGCTCCAAGATTCGTGCTACGGAGAAGCAGTGTAAGTCCCGTTTCTGTTTTCTGCTGTCTGTTTACGCTGTCTTCTATTTTTAACTCAGTTTCATGCCAAAGGTCCAAAAGAGGAGGACGAGTGGGACTGGAGCTTCGGTTGTGAGAAACCGAAATCACCTGCTGCGGTCGAACTTGGGGACGCAGAGGAAGGCGCGATACTGCTGGGTATATTCTCAAGTGATTGCAGATGGCTTGGTTCGAAGCCACCAAACACTTAATGATGGTACACTTTCCATCCGTTTTCAGGTCACCCTCGCGATTCCAAGTCGTTCTCCTTTTCCCCTGTCAAAGAGCGTTTGAAGGCTGTTGTGAAAAGAGTCATGGATCTGGACGCCATCTCAGTTCAAATGGGTGAAAGGTATGTCAGCGCTAATTCATGCAAATTGATTTCTACTACTTGCTCATTGAGCATGACCTTGTTGCAGTAAAACAGCAGCTGATGAGCTCGTAAGCAAGCTCAATATCTCGCCTTCTCCAGAACTCATTGCGATGCTTCCATCAGGCGGAAAGGTGAGGCTGCTCATATTAGAGTTTTTGCAGGAGCGTGACTGAGGCAGTGGTGGTTACAGGTTAATAAGGATGTGACTTCAAGCCCAAGACAAGCCTTTTGGAATGAACAACCACGACATACGATTCCTCTTGTGAATGTAGACATGGAGGATTTCGGGGTACATGACTGGCTTTTTGGGTCTGAAGAGGCACACCGGGATGTCTCTGAAGTCATGTTTGGGAGTGTCCGAAGCATTCCTGAAGCAGAAAGCTCCCTTGGAGCTGATGTATTTCTTGGAGGGGAGAGTTTATCCGAGTGTGGAACGTCAATGTTTGCGCAAGGCTTAGAAGCTGGAGGCTGTTTCAATGGGGATTCGTTCGACGAAGTGTTTCCTGGTAGCAGAACTTCTCCAGAAGCAACGGCCTTGTCTCCAGAGCCTTTTCTTTCAAGATCCCTCCCTCCAGAACCATTCTCCCTAGGGTCAGGCTCATTAGCTCCATTCTGGAATTGCAGCCCTTCAGCAACAGATATTGATGTAGGTCTTCAGGCACACAACAGCAGTCCATCTGTGAGTGGCCTTTTTGACAGTGCTGCTGGTACAAGAGGAAATCCCTTCGAGAGTGCTGACATGAATTGGAAGGGCGATAGAGCTGAGGCAGATGAGATAATTTGTGCAAGTGAGTTTGGAGGCCCCAGTTATAGCCCCGCTGATAGCCTTTTTGATACACCCTATTTCATGTCCTGAAATATATCCTGTATAGCTTAGTGGATAAAGCCATAAGGCCTGGTAAATATATGAGTGTAAATTATTTGTTTTTCTTGTATGCTTTTCTGTGCAGTAACTTGGTACGAAACACTATATACGAGTTACGAAGTCCGTTCTTGATGAAGTCTCTTGCCATGAGGCCATTGCTTTTTTGAGGGAAGTGCCTGTCAGCCTGTCACTGCCTAGGGAACTCCCACCCCCCCCTCTTCGCGACCATCATGGCTCCACGAGGAGCTATTTGCCGACACGTGGTAGCGCCAAACTGGCTCTTCTCGCGCATGGCGTACACCAGCAGCCAATTGCAGCCCGGAGCACGTTCCACCAGAACGTACTACCCATCTCCATCCATCTTTCATCCCATCCATCAACCTCCGCGTCGCCTTTTGCGAATTTCCGCGCCGCCTAGAAATCGCGCATCGCGCCGAACTTCACGCAGGAAGGAATGTGTTTCCAAGCACGAGCCGCGGTGCATCAAGCCGTGGGGTACTGTAAATTCAAGTCGTTCCTTTTCCATCGATCAGATTGGGTCGTCGTTATTCTATCCAAATCACCCGTATCTTCTATCATCGTAGCTCTCCCTTGTTTTTTATCTCCCTTAATTTCCGCGCAAGAATCATCGTCTTCGAATCAACGTTCGAGCGAACATGTCTCAGGAGCAGCCGCGGCGGGAGGAGATGGAGGGGCAGGCCAAGGTACGCCAGTCTACACGTCTCTTCACCGCCTCGACAAACACCTTTCTCAGCATTTATTCACCGTCTCCCCCGCTGTCCCTAACTGATTTCTGCCATACCCTTCCTTTCTGATCTCGCTTCAGCAGGAGCAGTTTTCAACAGAACCAACGCAGGCAGCAGCAACTGGCGCTCCCGGCTACGCAGGAGGTGGAACAGCCGTCTCTGCACCCGGTTACGCCGGCGGTGGTTACGTGGCAACGGCAACAGGCCCAGGCTTTACCTGCACGGCCCAGGAATTCCCCACTGCAGGGGGAGGTGCGACGGGAGTGGCTGCTGTGACTGATACCGAGGGGAGGACGATTTACTACTCTACCACTATGCAGCCCATGGGTGTGACGGGGCCGGGTGTGACTGAAACGGGCGTGACTGCAACGGGAGTGCCTGCAACGGGAGGTGGTGGTGCTATGGGTGGAGGTATGGGTGGTGGTACTGCCACTGGTGTGCCTGCTGCAGGTGGGGGTGGGATGGGGGAGATGGGAAAGGGGACGGACACGAGTGCTATGGGGGCTGGGATTGGTGGGGAGAGCCTGGGAACCACTGGGACGGGGGAAGGGGAAACGGCTGGGGGGGAAGCGGGAGGGATGGGCACAACGGGGGGAGGGGATACTGAGATGGCGGCTGGAGATGTGGGGGGAGAGAGCATTGGTGCCAGGGGTATTGGTGAACCTGCTGGCGAGGAGAAGAGCACAGCTACTGGTGCTACCCCCGAAGGGGGTATGAGGAGGACTGCTAGGGGTGATGTGACTGCTGGGGGTGATGCTGGTCAGGCGAAGGAGGCTGGTGCTGCTGCTGCTGGCGGGGAGACGGGAGGGGCTGGGACCGGTGGGGAGGGGTTCATGGGGCGAGAGTCCGAGGCCAAGTCTATGGAAGGGGAAGGAGGTATTGGCTCAGCTTAAAAGCTAATGTGGAGATGAATATCCTGCAACCCGAAGAGGCTTGGATAGAGGGGATACATAGCACTGATTGAAGCGCATTGGCTGCCTTCTACTGGCTTTGAATTGTTCTGTTCCTTCTGCTTCCTTTTGTTTGTACAGTTTCTGTTCTTTTGTTCTTATCTGTGTAAGGCAATGTACAGTTCTGTTTTTACTGAAATCACATTCTTAGCTTAGCTTAGGCCCTCATCCGCAATCTTGTAAACAGAACACAGCAATTTTCAAAATCACTCAATGCACTCTAATTGAAAGAACTTTTCTGTGCTGTGTCTAATTACGCTCTAGAAAAAAACCCCATCACCACCATTGAAGAAACTGATACACAGTATCAAACCAATTCACACCTAACCAATCATGTTATGCCACATCATCATCTTGCAGCCGCACATGCCTTGATGAGAGCCTCTGCACTCGACACCTGGCGCAGAGGATGCGTGGAGAATGGATGTGGATGCATACGAAACCGCCTCATGCCTAACCAATCATGTCATATTATGGCATGTCATGATTTTTGAGGCGCCTCATAAACCGCCTCATGCCTATCCAATCATGTCATATTATGGCATGGCATGATTTTTGAGGCACCTCATAAACCGCCTCATGCCTATCATATCATGTCAAATTATGGCATGTCATGTCATCATCTCGCAGCGGCACATGCCTTGATCAAGGCCTCTGCACTGGACACCTGGCAAGGGGTATGGGTGGAGAATGGATAGGGGATGCACAGAAGATCACATAAAGGGATTGAACCGAGACAACTAAACACAACACAACACATGCGATGGGACATGGGAAGTTACGACAGAAGGCACCAAGGAGTTTTGAGGGCCTCAGCACATGGAGAGTGGAGAGGCGTGCTGAACAGTGGAAGGGGATGGAGAGAAAGAGGAGAGGATTAGAGAGGAACGGTCAAGAGTGGTGGAGAATGGGTGGGGAGGACTGGGGAGGAGTGGAGATGAGTGGACGACTGGAGAGGACTCGGTGGAGTAGAGATGATTGGAGAACAATGGAGTGAAAGCGAAAGGACCAAGGAGGAACAGGCCAAGAGATTAAAGAATGAAAGAAGAAAAAAAGGGGGGGGGGGGGGGGGGGGGGGGGAAGGGGAGTGGGGGGGGAAGACGAAGTGAACCTATTGGAAAAAGAAGGTTTCTAATGGCAGCGTGCATGCACCAGCGAGCCTACCAGAGTAGCAGAGCAGCCCACCTGAGTCAGTATGCTAGACATTCTTCCACAATTTCGCCTGTGGTTGTTTTTTTCCAAGGACTTCTCATCAATATGTTACTTGCATGTGGCTTTAAGCCTACCTGAGTTGGGTTGCCAGAAATCTCGACAATCCTGTCCGTGCTGCCTGCTTCCGGGGGCTGGATCTGCCGTTGCACACATAGAAAAAGAACAATAAGAATAATAAGAAGAAAAAAGCAACAAAGTAGAAACAAACAAGGCTTAGTCAGAGTCTGAAGAGTTCTCGACAGTTGGATTGGAATATGATTGAACCCACCTTGAACCTATTCTCTCTTCGTAATTCTTGCTTCTAAAGCCTTATACGTCGCTTATATCGGCCACATTTCCATCACTCAAAACCCTAGCATGATAATCAATAGCAGAACTCTGCCGAATGTTCTTTATCAAATGTGATGCCCTGTCTCCCCTACTTCCACAACCCCTTTCACCTTCCTCATCATGCATGCAAAGACACGCACTCTCACAACCCTACCATGCAAAGACACGCACTCTCACAACCCTACCATGCAAAGACACGCACTCTCACAACCCTCCCATGACAATCAGCTGCAGAAACCTGCTCAATGCCCTTGATCGATCGTGAGCCAGAGGAATTTGCCCAATACCCTTGATCAGCTGCAGGATTCTGATCAGCCATCCCCTCTTTCCCCAAACCACTTCCTCAACCCCCATCCCATTCCTCAACTTTCATGCAAAGAAACAAGATCTCACAGCCGCACCTTAATGTTAGCACCAGACATCTGCCGAATGTTCTTGATCGTGTTCCCACCCTTCCCCAGCACCGACCCTATCGCCTGCCCCGGCAACCGAAGCTCAATCCGAGCCTGCCCCTGCTCCTGGCCCTGGCTGTGACCATGAGGCTCGGATGCCTCTGTTTTGACAAAGGGACGATCCTGCACCCTCCGCCGCTCTGCATGGAGTGAATGAATGGAACGCAGAAGGGGGGGAATTCTTAAAGAACGGTTAGAAACGGTGCTTCTTTCAGGATTGCGAGAATGGAGTTGGCAAAGCGGTAGTGGGACGATCCTGCACCCTCCTCTGCTCTGGATGGGTTGAATGAAAGGACATAAAATGGGGAAAAAAAAATTCTCAGGAATGTGTGAACAGAGATGGCAAAATGGTAATGTGATGATCCTCCACCCCTCTTCTTTGTTCTGATTGGTGTGATGTGAACGAAGGAATGTGGAATGGGAGGGATAACCTAGTTTTCCGACTGGTTTCCTGCTTTCCCCAGCAATGTGAAAACGGAGATGGCAAAGTCGTGGTGGGAAGATAAAGAGGTGACTTTTGAGTCGACTCAAAAGTCACCGCAAAGTGGTGGCGGGAAGATAAAGCACCCACCTTTCGCGAATGGGGTGAATGAAGGGAAAATGGGATCATGGAGTAATGTAGATTGGTAGTTATGGAGTGGTGCAACTGCAGACTTCTCGACTGCAGTGGCAGCGGCAGCGGCAGCGGCGGCGGCAGCAGGGGAACTCACTAGAATGATCATCAAAACCAGAACCAGGCGAAGGCTGGTAACCAGACGAAGTAGGGTAACCAGACGGAGGGTGATAACCAGACGCATCAACGTAACCAGCACCAGCACCAGCAGCAGCAGCACCGGAAGCAGCAGCACCGGAAGCAGAGGAGAAGCCAGTATGGCCCATTGGGGCTGATGAAAACCCAGTCAGAGGCCCCCCACCAGCAGAACCACTCCCTAATCCCCCAATCCCCCCTCCCCCTGCTCCCCCTGCTGCTCCCTGATAGCTGGCCAGTACCGCACCCAACCCTCCTCCAATCCCCCCCACCCCCCCCACACCACTCTGGGATCCCATCCCCAGGCCCCAACTCAGGTCTCCTCCTGCTGCTGTTGCCCCTCCCGCTCCTGCTCCCCCTCCCCCCAACCCTCCCCCCATCCCCCCTCCCCCAAAGTTACTCCCCAGATCCGTTCCCAAACCTCCTCCCAAGCCTGCACCTATGAATCCCGAACCTAGCGCTCCCGAGCCTAGGCTGCTCCCTCCCAACCCCAGCCCAGGGTCGTACATCCCCAGACCTGCTGCCGAACCATACCCAGGCGGCATTCCCAAGCCTCCTGCCGGGCCTCCTGGCGAGCCATAACCTGCTGCCAAACCAGATCCCAAGCCTGCAATCCCCGGACCTGGGTATCCCCCGGCTCCCGAACCTCCCCCTCTCCACCCCCTCCCCGCTTGACCCCCAAAACCCGTTCCTGCTGCGGCTGCTGCATGCTGCTGCTGCTGCTGCTGCTGCAGCGGCGGCTGCATAGGGGGTTATGGTGGCGCGCGCTGCTGCCACTGAGCCTGCTGTCTCCATTTCTTCTAGGGACTCCTGGGGAGGATTGGCCCTGAGAACACAAAGAGAGAGGCAGGCAGGCAAAGAGAGAGACACAGGCAGGCAAAGAGAGGGACAAGCAGACAGAGAGCACACATGGGCTTTGAAGCGAATATAGCACGCAGCGGCGGCAGCACAGGGGGTGATGGTGGCGCGCGCTGCTGTTTCCATCTCATCTAAAGGCTCCTGAGGGGGGTTGGTCCTGAGGACGGACAGTGAGAGGCAGAGAGGCAGAGAGGCAGAGAGGCAGAGAGGCAGAGAGGCAGAGAGGCAGAGAAGCAGCGAGGCAGAGGGGAAGTCGCAGATGCAGTGGTGCTGCTGCAGTGGCGGAATGCAGGTAGGTAAACCCAAGCACATGCGATGTCAGGACAAGTGTTGGACTGCTGCTGCAGTGGCGGAATGCAGGTAGGTAAACCCAAGCACATGCGATGTCAGGACAAGTGTTGGACTGCTGCTGCAGTGGCGGAATGCAGGTAGGTAAACCCAAGCACATGCGATGTCAGGACAAGTGTTGGACTGCTGCTGCAGTGGCGGAATGCAGGTAGGTAAACCCAAGCACATGCGATGTCAGGACAAGTGTTGGACTGCTGCTGCAGTGGCGGAATACAGGTAGGTAAACCCAAGCACATGCGATGTCAGGACAAGTGTTGGACTGCTGCTGCAGTGGCGGAATGCAGGTAGGTAAACCCAAGCACATGCGATGTCAGGACAAGTGTTGGACTGCTGCTGCAGTGGCGGAATGGAAGTAAATAAATATATGTAAGCATATGCTACATGTAAGGACAAGCGTTGGACATGCTATGAGCACATATGGCATTGCTTTCAATTCAATGCCTTCACAAAGAGCAAAAGAGAAGCTCACTTGAGTACGTTCGCCATCGCCTTGAGTGCTGCCTCCAGCTTCGGGGCTGTTGCAGTGATCTGATGCGGTGGAGAGGGGTGGGGCGGGGCCGGATGGGGTGGGGTGGGGTGGGGCGGGGCCCGATGGGGTGGAATGGGGTGGGGTTGTGGTAAGGTGCAGCGGCAGGGCGACGGGGCACGCCCGTCTGCAAGGCGCACAAGCGTCCCACTGGACTCGTGAGTGCCCTTCATCACCATCCCACCACACCCCACCCCACAGCACCTGCACAAGCCTGTCTGCTGGTAGTGCAAAGGGGAAGGAGGGACCCTCTGCAAGGCGCACAAGTGTCCTGCTGGACTTGCGAATGCCCTTCATCACGATCACCCTGCCTCAACCACGCCACCTGCTGCTCCTAGTCACACACACTCACGCCCAACACTCACCTGTACGAGCCCATCTGTTGGTACTGCGAACGCGGCGATGAAGGCCCCTCTGCAAGGCGCACAAGCGTCCCACTGGACTCGCGAGTGCCATTCATTCATCCCCCCGCCTCAACCACGACTTTTGAGGCGCCTCAAAAGTCGTCTCATTACCCGCAATTTTTATACTGATCGAGTTTTTGTTGCTTGGAAGTGTGCACAAAATGCGCAACAGCGCCTGGTTCGCGCGAGGTTACCACCACCCAATTCCAAGACTGCCGAAGACAGACCCGAGGAATGACTGGACACTTTGGTGTTTTCTTTCGTGTCTAGTTGACACTTTTCTTATCTAGTTTTGTGCCCAGGGTAGGATTTTCTTGAGTAGATCTCGAGGCTTGGGTGTTTCTTTTGGACCCCTCGCTTGCTCGCTCTTTCATTTAGAACTCTTGCACTGATGAAGGCCTAGCGGGTACAATCCCCGTGCGAAGCCGAAACATGTTTGCCTAAGTCAGAGTTTTGAACAGAGCTGTGCTTTCGGTTTTTTGTGTTTTTTGCTGTGTTTTGCTGTGTTTTGTGTTTTTTATAACAGGGTTACTATTTTTCAACAAGTGACTATCGTTCTTTGCTAAAGCGATCCTTCACGCTGCAGCACTTCTTCATGACCAGTGACCCGTGGGACTCGCGAGTGCCATTCATTCATCCCCCCGCCTCAACCACGACACCTGCTGCTCCCTGCAACTGCTCACCTGCACGAACCTGTCTCATCACGATCGGCCCAAACGCCCTGCTGGGCTCACAAGCGTCCCACTAGATAAAAGTAGTGCTTTTAGTTGAGACGTCTCGAAACACTACTTTTATCACTCGCGAATCGACTCAGGAATCGGCTTCTCCCCGTGACACAAACGCCCTGCTGGGCGCGCAATTCACAATTCGAGCTGCTGACCTTTCACAAGCGCTGCACTGGACTCACAATTCGAGCTGCTGGGCGCACAAGCGCTGCACTGGACTCACAATTCGAAGCAATGAAAGGTCGACCGTTTAGGTTCACAGACCTGTCTCTCCCCTATCAGCACAAACGCTTTGCCGGACTCGCGAAAGCCCTTCATTCCACCCCGCTCCCCCCGCACAAACGCCCCGCTGGACTCGCGGATGTCCTTGATCACCCTGCCCATCCCATCCCACCGCACTCCACCCCATCTCACTGCTCACCTGTACGAGCCGATCTGCTGGCAGGGCGAAAGGAGATGCAGGTCCCTCCGTGATGCGCACAAACGCCCCACTGGACTCCCTTGTGCCCTTCCCCTGCCTACCCCACCGCACCCCACCCCAACCCATTCCACCCCACCCCACCTGCACGAGCCTGTCTGCCGGCAGGGCGAAAGGAGATGCAGGTCCCTCTGTGATGCGCACAAACGCCCCACTGGACTCGCGGATGTCTTTGATCACGCGGCCTCCCTTCCCAATGAGAGCGCCCGACTGTGACGCCGGCACCAGCAGGTTCAAAACTGATCGGCTCGACTCGTCTGCCCTCTGCTGCTGCTGCTGGCGGTTGTGGTTGGGGTGAGGTCCGTCCTGCTTGGGGTGAAAGGGAGACGAGAAGTCACACGACAGAGCGGAAGGTTAGGGAGAGAGAGAAAGAGAGAGGCACAAACACACACACACACAAGCGCACAAAATATAAAAATAAAATGACTAGTATGAATGCACATCAACACAACGGACCTGCGTTTTTACTTTCATCTAAACAAGGCGTACCTGGGGCAGCAGCGCGGCAGGGAACATGGCAAAGAGAGCAGTCTCTGCCGGTGAGGGGTCCGACGAGGAGGAGGAGGAGGAGGAGGAGGGGACGTGCGTTTGGCAACTTGTGTTCCTCTCATCGCTACAGCAAACCATACCTGGGGCAGCAGCGCAGCAGGGAACATGGCGAAGAGAGTTGTCTCTGCCAGTGAGGGGTCAGACGAGGAGGAGGGGGGCGAGGAGATGACGTGCCTCTAGCAACCTCTGTCCCTCTCATCCCAACACCGGACCTGCGCTTTTACTTTCATCTAAACAAGGCGTACCTGTGGTAGCAGCGCGGCAGGGAACATGGCAAAGAGAGCAGTCTCTGCCGGTGAGGGGTCCGCTGAGGAGGAGAGAGGTGAGGAGATGACTAGCAGACGCTCCTCTGATGGCTGGTGGGGGGAGGGGGGAGGGGGAGGGGGAAGGGGGAGAAGAAGGGGGGGAAGGGGACGGGAAAAGGAAGGATGTGTGAAGGGGCTGGGGAGGGAAGGGAGGGAGGGAATAAAATTGAGGCGCTTCAAAACGAGGAGGAGGGGGGAAAGGAGATGACGAGCAGGCGCTCCTCTGATGGCTGGTGGGGGGAGGAGGACAGAAAGGGAGGGACGGGAGAGAAAGTACCGGACCAAGAAGGGGTGTGTTCATTAAGGCGCCTTCAGCACGACGAGGAGGGGGGCGAGGAGATGACAAGCAGGCGCTCCTCTGTGGCTGGTGGGGGAAGGGGAGAGGAGGATATTGGAGAAAACAGAAAGGGAGGGGAGAGGAGGATATTAGAGAAAACAGAAAGGGAGGGGAGAGGAGGATATTGGAGAAAACAGAAAGGAAGGGGAGAGGAGGATATTGGAGAAAACAGAAAGGGAGGGGAGAGGAGGATATTGGAGAAAACAGAAAGGGAGGGGAGAGGAGGATATTGGAAAAAACAGAAAGGGAGGGGAGAGGAGGATATTGGAAAAAACAGAAAGGGAGGGGAGAGGAGGATATTGGAAAAAACAGAAAGGGAGGGGAGAGGAGGATATTGGAGAAAACAGAAAGGGAGGGGAGAGGAGGATATTGGAGAAAACAGAAAGGGAGGGGAGAGGAGGATATTGGAGAAAACAGAAAGGGAGGGGAGAGGAGGATATTGGAGAAAACAGAAAGGGAGGGGAGAGGAGGATATTGGAGAAAACAGAAAGGGAGGGGAGAGGAGGATATTGGAGAAAACAGAAAGGGAGGGGAGGGGAGGATATTGGAAAAAACAGAAAGGGAGGGGAGAGGAGGATATTGGAAAAAACAGAAAGGGAGGGGAGAGGAGGATATTGGAAAAAACAGAAAGGGAGGGGAGAGGAGGATATTGGAGAAAACAGAAAGGGAGGGGAGAGGAGGATATTGGAGAAAACAGAAAGGGAGGGGAGAGGAGGATATTGGAGAAAACAGAAAGGGAGGGGAGAGGAGGATATTGGAGAAAACAGAAAGGGAGGGGAGAGGAGGATATTGGAGAAAACAGAAAGGGAGGGGAGAGGAGAATATTGGAGAAAACAGAAAGGGAGGGGAGAGGAGGATATTGGAGAAAACAGAAAGGGAGGGGAGAGGAGGACATTGGAGAAAACAGAAAGGAAGGGGAGAGGAGGATATTGGAGAAAACAGAAAGGGAGGGGAGAGGAGGATATTGGAGAAAACAGAAAGGGAGGGGAGAGGAGGATATTGGAGAAACCAGAAAGGGAGGGACGGGGGAGAAAGGATTGGACCAAGGAGTGTGTTTACAAAGGTGCCTTTCGCACGAGGAGAGGACGATGGGGGCTTGACCTGGCTTCCCTGCCTGCTTACGTGTGAGTCGACTTTTGAGCCTGCCTGCTTGCGTGCGAGTCGACTTTTGAGCCTGCCTGCTTACGTGTGAGTCGACTTTTGAGGCGCCTCAAAAGGCAGCTCTGCTTGCCTGTTAGTCAACTCAACAACAGTGCGTGCGTGCTTACAATGGTGGGAAGCACGGAGCACATTCTCCCTCATCTGCTCGATCTTGCTGCCCTGCTTGCATGCTTGCTTCACTGCTTGCTTGCTTGTGAGTCAACTCATCAGTGCATGCTTACAATGGTTGGCGGCACGGAGCACATGCTTACAATGGTTGGCGGCACGGAGCACATGCGAATCCTTGCCCCCGTGCTCTCCCTCATCTGCTTGATCTTGCTTCCTTGCTTCCCGATCACCCCGCCGGCCCGGCTCTCATGCACCAGCAGACGGAACACCACTGCGCAGGGAAGGAGAGGGAGAGAGAGATGTGGAGAGGGAGAGAAGGGGTCAATGAGGGGAAGAGACAGCATTGTTGTGAGAGGATGCAGGAAGGGGGCCTACTCCAACGCCTTGCTTGTCGATCCCCCCCCCCCCCAACCCTCCCCCCCCCCCCCCCCCCCCCCCCGGCTTGACTCTCGTGTATCAGCAGATGAAGCACCACTGGAGAGAGGGGGGGGGAGCCATAAGGTGAAATGAAAGAGACAGGGAACGGAACTGGGTGAGGACGCAGGCACGAGGTCACTTCCAATGCCTCCTCTCCTGCTTGCCGATCACCCCTCCAGCCCAGCCCAGCCCAGCCCAGCCCAGCCCGGCTCGGCTCTCACGCACCAGCAGACGAAACACCACTGGAGAGAGGGAGAAGGTAAGCATGTGGGGGTTACACAAGGGGGGAGAGAGGAGAGGAAGTGGGTGGGAAATAGAATAGGAAGAAAATGGGAAGAAAACGCATTCCTTGTACATCAAATCAAACCATGCGGTGCCACCACCTTTTTTTTATTCTTCTGTTTGAAAAAGAGGAGCTACTAAAGGGAAGTAAGAGACGGTTTCTGGGAGAATGAGACAGTCGGCACAATGGGAACAAACAAACAAACAAAAAAAAAGAGTTTTGAGACGTCTCATAGCTGGGCAGTGCAGAAACAGACCTGTGGGAGGGGAGATCTGTAAGAACAGCGAGCGTGGGCAGTATGGTGGGGCAGGGAATCGGGGATGGATGAGGGATGAGATGAGAGGCCTATAGGCGGGCCGTGTGAGAGTATGGGGGTGGGACCGTGGGGATGGGGGAGTGACAAAAAGGAAATGGAGCAGCGCCACAAGGCAAGACGGTAGTGTGTGAATGGCGCAGGGGACGGTTATGGTACCTTCGAAGATTCCGGGGGGATGGGGGAAAGGGAGGTGGAGAATGGTGGTGGGAGGTGGAGAGGTGGGGTTGGGTTGGGGGGGAAGGTGTGGGGGGGTTGGGAAAAAGGGGGCATGGAGCATGCAGCATGTAGGAAGAATGCAGCATAGCATGCAGCATGTAGGAAGAATGCAGCATAGCATGCAGCATGTAGGAAGAATGCAGCATAGCATGCAGCATGTAGGAAGAATGCAGCATAGCATGCAGCATGTAGGAAGAATGCAGCATAGCATGCAGCATGTAGGAAGAATGCAGCATAGCATGCAGCATGTAGGAAGAATGCAGCATAGCATGCAGCATGTAGGAAGAATGCAGCATAGCATGCAGCATGTAGGAAGAATGCAGCATAGCATGCAGCATGTAGGAAGAATGCAGCATAGCATGCAGCATGTAGGAAGAATGCAGCATAGCATGCAGCATGTAGGAAGAATGCAGCATAGCATGCAGCATGTAGGAAGAATGCAGCATAGCATGCAGCATGTAGGAAGAATGCAGCATAGCATGCAGCATGTAGGAAGAATGCAGCATAGCATGCAGCATGTAGGAAGAATGCAGCATAGCATGCAGCATGTAGGAAGAATGCAGCATAGCATGCAGCATGTAGGAAGAATGCAGCATAGCATGCAGCATGTAGGAAGAATGCAGCATAGCATGCAGCATGTAGGAAGAATGCAGCATAGCATGCAGCATGTAGGAAGAATGCAGCATAGCATGCAGCATGTAGGAAGAATGCAGCATAGCATGCAGCATGTAGGAAGAATGCAGCATAGCATGCAGCATGTAGGAAGAATGCAGCATAGCATGCAGCATGTAGGAAGAATGCAGCATAGCATGCAGCATGTAGGAAGAATGCAGCATAGCATGCAGCATGTAGGAAGAATGCAGCATAGCATGCAGCATGTAGGAAGAATGCAGCATAGCATGCAGCATGTAGGAAGAATGCAGCATAGCATGCAGCATGTAGGAAGAATGCAGCATAGCATGCAGCATGTAGGAAGAATGCAGCATAGCATGCAGCATGTAGGAAGAATGCAGCATAGCATGCAGCATGTAGGAAGAATGCAGCATAGCATGCAGCATGTAGGAAGAATGCAGCATAGCATGCAGCATGTAGGAAGAATGCAGCATAGCATGCAGCATGTAGGAAGAATGCAGCATAGCATGCAGCATGTAGGAAGAATGCAGCATAGCATGCAGCATGTAGGAAGAATGCAGCATAGCATGCAGCATGTAGGAAGAATGCAGCATAGCATGCAGCATGTAGGAAGAATGCAGCATAGCATGCAGCATGTAGGAAGAATGCAGCATAGCATGCAGCATGTAGGAAGAATGCAGCATAGCATGCAGCATGTAGGAAGAATGCAGCATAGCATGCAGCATGTAGGAAGAATGCAGCATAGCATGCAGCATGTAGGAAGAATGCAGCATAGCATGCAGCATGTAGGAAGAATGCAGCATAGCATGCAGCATGTAGGAAGAATGCAGCATAGCATGCAGCATGTAGGAAGAATGCAGCATAGCATGCAGCATGTAGGAAGAATGCAGCATAGCATGCAGCATGTAGGAAGAATGCAGCATAGCATGCAGCATGTAGGAAGAATGCAGCATAGCATGCAGCATGTAGGAAGAATGCAGCATAGCATGCAGCATGTAGGAAGAATGCAGCATAGCATGCAGCATGTAGGAAGAATGCAGCATAGCATGCAGCATGTAGGAAGAATGCAGCATAGCATGCAGCATGTAGGAAGAATGCAGCATAGCATGCAGCATGTAGGAAGAATGCAGCATAGCATGCAGCATGTAGGAAGAATGCAGCATAGCATGCAGCATGTAGGAAGAATGCAGCATAGCATGCAGCATGTAGGAAGAATGCAGCATAGCATGCAGCATGTAGGAAGAATGCAGCATAGCATGCAGCATGTAGGAAGAATGCAGCATAGCATGCAGCATGTAGGAAGAATGCAGCATAGCATGCAGCATGTAGGAAGAATGCAGCATAGCATGCAGCATGTAGGAAGAATGCAGCATAGCATGCAGCATGTAGGAAGAATGCAGCATAGCATGCAGCATGTAGGAAGAATGCAGCATAGCATGCAGCATGTAGGAAGAATGCAGCATAGCATGCAGCATGTAGGAAGAATGCAGCATAGCATGCAGCATGTAGGAAGAATGCAGCATAGCATGCAGCATGTAGGAAGAATGCAGCATAGCATGCAGCATGTAGGAAGAATGCAGCATAGCATGCAGCATGTAGGAAGAATGCAGCATAGCATGCAGCATGTAGGAAGAATGCAGCATAGCATGCAGCATGTAGGAAGAATGCAGCATAGCATGCAGCATGTAGGAAGAATGCAGCATAGCATGCAGCATGTAGGAAGAATGCAGCATAGCATGCAGCATGTAGGAAGAATGCAGCATAGCATGCAGCATGTAGGAAGAATGCAGCATAGCATGCAGCATGTAGGAAGAATGCAGCATAGCATGCAGCATGTAGGAAGAATGCAGCATAGCATGCAGCATGTAGGAAGAATGCAGCATAGCATGCAGCATGTAGGAAGAATGCAGCATAGCATGCAGCATGTAGGAAGAATGCAGCATAGCATGCAGCATGTAGGAAGAATGCAGCATAGCATGCAGCATGTAGGAAGAATGCAGCATAGCATGCAGCATGTAGGAAGAATGCAGCATAGCATGCAGCATGTAGGAAGAATGCAGCATAGCATGCAGCATGTAGGAAGAATGCAGCATAGCATGCAGCATGTAGGAAGAATGCAGCATAGCATGCAGCATGTAGGAAGAATGCAGCATAGCATGCAGCATGTAGGAAGAATGCAGCATAGCATGCAGCATGTAGGAAGAATGCAGCATAGCATGCAGCACGTAGGGAGCATGCTTGCAGGAAGGAGCTACATAGTATGTGTGGCCCTTCCTCTCCTCACAAACCTCCAAACACATCCCAACCGCCCCATTCACTCTCACACACTCGCAGACTTCCTCATGATTTCACCAACCAAAGCTCATAAAGCATGATCACCTAGTCCCAAAAGCACACCACACTCAATCAACTCAACCCACACTCACAACACTCTCACGCACTCCCACACACACCAGTGTTCTGCGAGCCACTGAACTCCTGTGCGTGTGCAACGGCAGGAATGGAACCCAGGGGCAGGGCATTCACCCAACCCCAGGAGTGCGCGCAAGAGGGGGGGGGGGGGGGAAAGTAAGGCGGGGCGGAAGGAGGGGTGGGAGGTGGGAAAGGTGTGGGGAAGGGGAGATGGGGGGAAGGAGAGGTGGGGGGAGTGCGGCGTGGGCCGCGGGCGGTGCGGACGGGGGAGAGGAGGAGGATGTGGGCGGATAACAGGGGCGATGGCGTGAGCCGCGGGCGGGCGGGCGCCGCACGCAAGCAAGTGGGAGGCAGTCGCAAGGAGGAACGCGAAGGGGTTGAGTGGGACACGCCGCGGCGCGCAAGCGACGCGAGGGGGTTCGAGGAAGCACGCGGCACGTGTGATGGCCGGGGGAGGGAGGTGAGGAGGAACGAAAGGGGGATGGAGGGGATACCGAGGGCAAGGGACATGCAGGGGAGGGACACGAAGGGGGAGGGAGTGTGCGGGGGGACAGGAAAAGGGGATCAGAGGGAGTGGGGACGGGTATGGGGGAAGAAAACGGTAGGGGGAGGGTCGTGGTGGAGGTGGGGGGGATGGGGGGGGGGGGGGGGGGGGGAAGAAAAGAGGGGGAGGAGGAGGAAAATGAGGGCTTTGGGTACGAAGGACGTGAACGCGAATGGTAGATGGAAAATCATAGGGATGGGGATAGGGAATGGAGAGTGGAAACTGGGGGATGGGGAGTGAAAGGTTCGGGTTTTTTTTTTTCGAGGGAGAAGTGGGAATGCGCGAAACCAGGAAAATATACAAGACGGTAGTTTTTGAGAATTCTCGAAAGGCGGTTTGCTTTCACGAAACCGTATCGGGGGTTCTCTAGAACAATCGAGACTATAAATAAGACTGGGGATGCGTAAGGATGGGGCGTGACGAGAAAAGTCAATCTCCGTCCGACTATCTAACCTCCGACGGCGACTGAGACTGAGAATGCGACTGCGACTTGCGGCCGCGTGCGTACCTCCATGTGCCGCTTTCGGTGACGGTGGTCGTCGCTTGAACCCGCCATGTTAGGGTTTCGTGACACTAACGAACCAATGGGAAAGTACCGACAGAACAGAACACTAACAAGATGCCTCGACTTCCAAAACGGTGAGCAATGTGCGGAAGGAAATGCGAAGCGAAGTTTTAGGAACTAAGGATGATGTAGCTTTGCCGTAGAAATTCTGACAAGCGAACACTGGATAGGAGAAAACCCTGCGTTCTTTGTAGGTGTGGTCCAGGCTTCCCCTTAGTGCTGAATTCATTCTAACCATAGAGCCAAGAAGTTGGCAATAGCAGCAAAAAACTTACGAGGATAATTTTGTTAGTAGCCCATCTCTATCCTGAGTCCTATTTGACGTTATATTTTTTGTAAAACCTTTTATTTATTATACATGTTATTTAAATGAGGACCAAAATATATGTGCCTGGTTAGTAAAGTGCAAACAATAAACTTTTCGTTGTCTATTTCTCACTGTACTTTTACACTTCTTTGGATGAAACCTACATGCATACATCTACAATTTGTACTTATACAGGATATAGCGTCGTCAACCTGAACGACAAACTGTATTCTCCAGGGTTTTGTTTCGTCAAGAAGACGCTGTACAGCGCGCGGAGAACGCACAACCGCACAGCCACCTGACGGGGCGTGGCTGCTTGTGTGATGCGCTGATAGCTCGGCGCGGAACTGTTGGCGCAGCCGACTTTGGTTGGTGCCCCTAGGTTCGGCGGAGGCTCCCCTTGAAAAACGAGTGTGAACCAGCGGAGGCGGAGAATCACAATTACTGTAGCGCGCGAGGAATTGGAACGGATCTGGTGTCGTCAGAAAGACGCGACGAGGGTTTCAACCAAGAATGAGTTAACAAGCTTCTTGATGGGAGCCATGGCTGAGGTATACGAACTCCAATCAATTTAACTCGCATCGCTCGAGGTCTTTTCTTGTGTGACACGGAGAATGGGAAGGTGTTCGGCCAGTTTAATCCAGTCTCGCCTTTTTCGCCGTTTAGTGTGCTAGAATAGGCCCGTTAAACCGGGTCTAATGCCCGCACCCATCTTTATCTATTTCAAGTTATACCTGGCGTTTTTCTTTCCAATACACCGATTCAGTTGGTTCCGTAAAAAGGTATAAATGGGATCGTCACAGCCGTTTTTCGATTGGGCCGGATTCCCAGCCGGGGTGCGTTTCGAGCCGACCGATGTACAGCTATTGGATCATCTCTTAGCGAAGCTTGACGAGGAGCATGCTAGCTTAGACGACGAGGAACAGACTCTAAAGCCCGGCGTTAAGAGGCAAGCCAGCAGAGGGAAAGAGAACATCGCAGGGGGGGTTGGTGGCAAGCCACGTGTCCAGAAGCCGCGCCGGCAGCAGCACCCGCGAGTGGGAGAGTTCATTCCGACGCTGGGATTCGAAGACGGGATCTGCAGCGTTTATCCGGAGGATCTGCCTGGTATGTCGGTCGGACTGCAGTGACGGCTCGACCGGAATGCGTCTGGCACTTATATTGCGCTGTTATTGTTAGCTTTCGTCAAGATCGCTCCTCGCTGGTGTATTGCTTCGTTAAGCGTATCTAGGCACGGTTTACGTCGTTACATTGCAGCAAGACATTGCTTACATCGGGTTAAGATTTTACTCTTCTCAATCTTGACCAACAGGAAGCCAAATCCGCGTTCATCTCTTTTTCTTTTCCACAATCATGATCATTCGCTACCCTCGTTTTAACGTGTCGCCTCTACTCGTCGCCTCTACTCCCCTCGTCACCAACGCACTCTCTTCTCGTCGCGTCATCAGCACATTCCTTTTCATTCATTCCTTATTCTGCTCTCTCCCCGTGCAGGCATTGTCACGGACGGCACCACGCGGCACTACTTCCACCGCCCCTCGCGCGCGTATGCTATGGGGCTGCGCAAGCGGCGCAAAATCTTCTCTGATCGCCCCTCCGCTGCCACTCTGCCGCCCGGCACGGTTGGGGGTGCGGATGCAGGGCGGGAGGAGTGCGGGTACAGGTGGCACAAGACAGGGAAGACCCGCCCCGTGTTTGCTCGGAACAGGAAGCAGGTATGGTTTTTGCTGAGGGCCTCCTCACAAGTTTTCGTTGATCGTCCGTCCGTCTGCCACACCGTGTGCAGGAACAAACGTGGGCGCAGGGCAGGAGTGTGGGTACAGTTGGCACAAGACTGGCAAAGACTCGTTCCATCTTTGCTCGAAACAGGAAGCATGTACGGGATTTGCTGAGGCACACACAAGACTTGCTTCCCCCGCTGGTATTCCGCCTCTCTCACACACTGGATTAGGCTGGATGGAAGTAAGAAGGTTGCTCGGTCGTCGCAAGCGACTCTCTCTGTTTCTTCTTCCTCCGTTCATCTCCCCTCCAACCAGCCCTCCGCCCCTCCTTTTTACACCGCGGATTGGGTGGAAGAAATCCCCTGTATGAGAAGCGGGTGCAGAGCGGCAAGAGGCGGGGAGCAGAGGGCCAAGAGGGTTCTCAGCCGTTTCAAAGAACTTTTTTTGAGGGCCAAGAGGGCTCATTTCTTTTGTCCTCCGCGTCAACGCCCCACTTTCCCCCCTTCAGATTGGGTGGAAGAAGATTTGGGTTCTGTATGAGACGCGGGCGCAGAGGGGCAAGAGGGTTGCTGAGCCGCTTATATGAATGTCCTTCGTTTCTTTCTCCCTTCCCCTCGTCCCCCAACCCCTTCCCCCCTGGATTAGATCGGGTGGAAGAAGATTCTGGTGCTGTATGAGACGCGCGCGCAGAGGGGCAAGAAAAAGGGGGCGGACGAGCGGAGCAGCCCTGCAGGGGGCAGCGGGAAGGACAGGAAAACGAATTGGATCATGCACCAATACCACGTGGGGGAACAGGGCGAGGAGAAGGAGGGCGAGTGGGTGGTTTCGAAGGTGTTCTACCAGGTAAGGGGGTTTGTCAGTCAGGTCAGAGTGCCGTTACAGTGTTGCTTGAAAAGCAGTGCAGAGTGGCTGGATGGTTGGATGGTGGGATGGAGAGGACAGGAGAACGAATTGGATCATGCGCAAGTACCACGTGGGGGAACAGGGCGAGGAGAAGGAGGGCGAGTGGGTGGTTTCGAAAGTGTTTTACCAGGTAAGAGGCCTGTTAGGGGAAGGGGAGGGCGAGTCGAGGGGTTTCTGATACTCTGCTGCGTTGCTTGACTGTCCCGCACCTCCTCTCCACTCCTCTTTTCTCTGCCCATCCTTTCTCTGGGAGGCAGCAGCAGGTAGGGTTCTCTGCCCCTTTGCTTGATATTGTGTGTTGTGCCTTCTCTTTCATCATCTCATCTCATCTCATCTCATCTCATCTCATCTCATCTCATCTCATCTCATCTCATCTCATCTCATCTCATCTCATCGCATCGCATCGCATCGCATCGCATCGCATCGCATCGCATCGCATCGCATCGCATCGCATCGCATCGCATCGCATCGCATCGCATCGCATCGCATCGCATCGCATCGCATCGCATCTCATCTCATCTCATCTCATCTCATCTCATCTCATCTCATCTCATCTCATCTCATCTCATCTCATCTCATCTCATCTCATCTCATCTCATCTCATCTCATCTCATCTTCTTTGCTCTCCCTTTCCCCACTCGCAGATTCAGCAAAGGCAGAGTTCAGGCACACGAGCAGGCAGCAGGGAGGGGTCTCTGCCCCCCCTTGGCCAAGGGGCAGACGAGGAGGAGTGTGGGGCCGAGGGGAGGGAGGACATTGAAGCAGTCGGGGAAGGGGAGGGTGTGGCAGGAGAGGAGGACGAAGGGGAGGAGGAGGAGGCAGTGGATGATATCGAGGATGTCAATGACGAGGATGGGGATGGGGATGGGAGTATGGCAGGGACGCCCAGAGCAGCGGCGGCAGGGAGAGTAGGAGGGTTGGTGACAGGGGCAGGAGGCGCGTTTGTAGCGGCAGGAGGCTCAGTTGTAACAGCTGGAGGTTCGGCTGTAGCGGCTGGACGGAGAGGAAGGGGAGGGCGGGGAGGCAGGGGAGTAAGTCAGGGTGGTCGGGGGGGTTCTAGAGGGGTTAGGGCAGCAAAGGTGGGAGTGCTGGCAACGAGGGGTGCATTTCAAGGTGCGTTTCAAGCATCGCAGCAATCACCCACGCCAGCCCCTGCTGCCTCGTTTGGTGCAGCGTTTTTGCCACCAGGGCACTACCCACCACCCACCCTCGCTGCAGCTTCTCCTGTTTCCACAGCAGCAGGTGCTGCCTCAGGTGCTATTTCAGGTGCTTTCTCAGGTGCTGATCTGATGACTGCAGCAGAAGCAGCGCCAGCAGGAACAGCAGGCGCATTAGCAGGTCCTGCTCGTCTGCTCTCCTTCCACAACCAAGCACCCCCTTGTGGGACCCAGGAGGGGGCTTTATTAGGCACAGCAGGACCACCAAACACTGGCGTTTCTGGTGTAGGATTCACCCCTTTCAGTAGGAAAGGTGGTGCTGCTGGCGCTGGTGCTGCTAGTGGTGCTGGCGGTGGTGGTCGTGCTAGTACTGGTGGTGTGACAGCAGGTGAAATCACCAGCATCACCAACAACAGCAGCGGCAGTGGGCATGGCAGTGGCAGCGCTGGGGCAATGTTCCTTTCTCCTCCTCCTAACACACAGAGACGGGTGGGGCTTGGCGGTTTCAAACCCCTTGACACTGGTGCTGCTGGTGCTGGCGCTTCTGCTGCTGCTGGTGTTGCTGCTGGTGGTGGGGCTACTGCTGCTGAGCCTGTCACTCCAAGCAGCTCTGCCATGCCTGTTCCCATCACCCCCCCCTCGGCACACTCGGCTTCGGGCCTTGTGCCCTTAAAGCCGCCGGGATGGGATGGAGAAGCAGGGAGGCTAGTCCCTTGCCAACTGCAGCAGCAGCAGCTACAACACGGAAACCACGCTGCTACGACTTCCCCTGGAACTGAAGCTGCTACAGCTGCTACATCTGCCCTTGGTGCTGCTACAGCTGCTACAGCTGTAGACTTAGTGGGCAGTGCAGCAGCAGGAGTGAGCGATTTGAGGGCGTATGAGCAGTCGCTGGGGGATAGTGCCTCGGACATTGGCTCACACCCGCACTCACAGGAGGTGAGTGGGTACTGTTCTTATTGATAATTGCGTTTGAATGATGATAGCGATTAGTCGTCGTAATAATATTCTTGATCTATTGTTATTACTATTATCAGCATTTCAACACTTGATGGTACCCGTGCCTCTGTTCGTTTCCCCCATGCTGCTTTCCAACTGTGACCCTCTTCCCCTTCTGATTCTTCATTGCACTCTTCTTCCCTCTTCTCGCCTCTCCTCTCTCCCCCACCAGCCTCTTTTTCTCCCCCCTCAGGCGTCACTCCAAGCAACTCCCCCTGCCATGCCATCTGCTGCTACTACCAACCTGCCTGCAACGGCATTAAGGCAATACCTGGCTCAGAGGCAGCAGCGGGAGCAGGTGGGAGGGTACCAACAGGTTAATGAGACAGGGAGTTACCTGCAGCAGCAGCCACAGCAGCAACTGCCACAGCAGCAGCAGCAGCAGCAGCCACAGCGGCAGACAGGGGAAAGTGAGCAGCATAGACAGGCAGGGGCATATCAGCAGCTGCAGCAGCAGCCGTTGCTGCCGCCGCTGCAGCAACAGCAATTGCAGCCGCAGCAGCAGAAGCAGCAGCAGCAGCAACAGGCAGGGCAATCCAGAGAGAACGGGATGCTGATCGAGGCTGGGGAAAGGGCTGCCGGGGGGATTTTGGGGGAGGTGGATGCAGGGCAGATGCATGGGAATGGGAATGGGTTGGAGCAGGTGCATGGGAATGGGAATGGGTTGGAGCAGGTGCATGGGAATGGGAATGGTCTGGAACCAAGGCAGGTTCACGTGATGGGGTCTCAGGAGGAGAATGGGGCAGCAGGGAAGTGGGAGACGGGCAGCGAGGCAATGACTCTGGAGGAAGCAACCCAGAGACACAGAGAGGGGCTTCGGGAAGGGGATGCCCAGCTGCAACAACAGCAGGAGCATTTCCAGCAGCAGGTACAGCAGCAGCAGCGGGAGCTGCATTTTCACCAACAGCAGCATGAGAACCAACAGCAGCAATCATCAGTTGCAACAACAGCAGCGGCTACAGAGCCACAGGGGCAGCAGGGAGAGGGGGGGGACGAGGGCCACAAAGGGCATGGCTCCCTGCAGGATGGGATGGAAGGGCTGCCTGTTCTCTCTCAGAACGCACTCTTTTCCCAAGGCGCCCTGTTTTCCCAGGGTACTCCGGATGATTACCCGTTCCGGTTCCTCTCCACGCCCACAGACGAACACACTGATGTCTCTCCCAAGAAAGCCGAGAGTGGAGCTGTAGCATGTGCAACTGTAGCAGGAGCGACTGTAGCAGGAGCAACCGTAGCAGGAGCGACTGTAGCAGGAGGGAATGTAGCCACTGGTGTGGTTCCACCTGATGCTGCTACAACCGATACAGCGGCTGTAGCAGCTCCAGCAACGCCCCGAGTACCCTCATCTGCTGACGTGGCAGCCAGTGCTGCCAGCTCAGGGAACATGGAAGGGGGCTGTGCTGAGGGAGGTACACCTGGGGTAGGCTGTACTGGCGTGGGTGGTGGTGGGGCCACACACACCAGTGCAGTGAGCGGCGATGGGAGTAGGAGAGGGGGAGAGGCGGAGGGTGCAGGGGCGGAAGGTAAAAGCCTATGGAGGCCTGCCCCTAGAAGACTCTCCCCCCTGCTGCTGCCAGGGGTGATGCCAGGGGTGGTGGTTCTAGGGGTGGTGGTTCTATGGGTAACTCTGCTCCTGTGGCTGGTGTTGCAATCACTGCTGGTGGTGCTGGTGGTACAATCACTGCTGCTGCTGTGAGCGACGCGCTAAAAGACTCGCTTAAGGACTCGTGGTCGATTCCTACAAGCCAGGAGCTGCCTCTACCGTCCACCCCCATCTTTCTAAGCCAGGAGCTTCCCCCTATAGAGCATTTACCCTCCTCTCTGCCCTCCCTGCCCCCGTCTCAAGACCCTGTGGTGTGCTTTGGTGGCACTCAGCCTGTGGATCTGGGGGAGGGGGAGGGGGGAGAGGGTGGTTTGGGCCGAGAGGTGGGTGTGGGTGATGGGGCGGGGGGAATGGGAGAGAGGCGCATGGGGCAGATGGTTGGGGAGGGGGAAGGAGGGATTGACGGGATGGGGGCAATGCGGGAAATGGAAGCATTAGGGGAGATGGCGGAGAAAGGAGGGGAGCAGAGTGAGGGGGAATCAGAGGAGGCGATTCAAGAAACACAAGTGGAGGCAGAAGAGGAGGGTGATCGAGTGGGGCGTGTGGGACAAGAGAAGCAACAGGGGGAGCTGCAGCAACGGTTGCAAAAAGAGCAACACGAGGAGAACAACAGTGGTAGAGACAGTGGAAACGGCAGCGGCAGCGAGGCGAAGGATTCGTCGCCGTTGGATCTTCTGATGCTTGCCCTGTCAGGCAAACAGGGTGGGGATGGGGAGAAGGAGTGTGTGGAACAGCAGGGTACAATGAAAGGGAGGGAGGAAGGACGGGAGGGAGAAAGAGAGGGAGAAAAAGGGGGAGATAGAGGGGGAGATAGAGGGGGAGATAGAGGGGAGAATGGACTGCAGGAAGGGGGATGTCATGCATCGGCTTTAAGTTATCCTTCTGCTGTTCCCACCGTTGCTGCAGGTCCAAACAGCACACCACCCCTGGCATCGTCCAAATGTGCTGTTTCAGCTGAAGTGGGGGGAACAAGCAGGGTAGGGCCATGCACAGCGCTTGGGAGTGAAGCAGGCACGGGAAGCACTAGGGAGGGGTTATGTGCAGCGGGTGGGGGAGAGGTGACTGGGACAGGGGAAGGTGTGGTGGTAGGCAGCTGTGGGGTTGCAACTGGGGCTGTGCGCGAGTGTGGTGCTATGCCGGGTGTGGTAGGGAGCGGTGCTCTTGGTGCGGCGTTTTGGATCGGCAGCAGTGGTCCTGGCATGAGCAACGGCACGTGGGGCGAGTGGATGGGGCCTGCTAGGTCCGGCGAAACGGAGATAGTTGGCGGGCTAGGTTCGGAAGGGCATGCAGGTGCAGGTTCGGAATGTCAGGGCCGGGAGCAGGGGCGTTTGAATGGAGAGGGGAATGGGGCAGTGGAGGAAGGTACGAGTGGGATGGGAGGATTGATGAGATTGAGTGAGAAGAAAGACAGAGAGGAAAAGGAAGAGCAGGGAGATGGAAGTGGAGGAAGAGGAACAGGTACGAGTGATAAGGGTGAAGGAGGGAGCGGAGTGAGAGAAGAGACAGGAGGGAGAGGAAAGGAGGGGTCAGTGGAAGTGTCTTCCCTGGGTTCGGAGAAGACGGCAATGACAATCCCTCGCATGTTTCTTAGGAGCTCAAACCATGAGCAGAGCGAAGGGGGCTCCCAGCACAGCGGCAGTGCGAGTGGCTCGAGCAAGGGAACAGTGGTAGGGGCGGCAGGTGGAAGGAAGGGGAAGCGGGGAGGGACGAGTGGAGGGAGAGGGAGGAGGAAAGGGGTTGGCGGTGGGGAGGGAGGGGGAGGGAAACGGCAGGTGGGAGGCTGGAGGAACTGGACAATTGATACTTGACGAGGAAGATTGGTAAATTAAGGTTTATTTAGTGCGATTGTTGATGAGCAGATGTATTTGGTTTGTTTGTGTATTGGCCTGCTAATTGGCCACTGCTAAAGAATCTGGCTTGGTATGCTACCAAATTACGTTGGCAAAGTTTTTGCTTTCCGTACATGGACCAGATTTCATTAGTCTGGTTTAAGAGACATTGGCTTGCTGTGTGGAAAGCAATTATTCTACTGTTGTCAAGTTATAGATAAGCAGTTGTATGGACATGAGTCTCCTCGTACTGGGTATTGACAGTGACGGATTCCTCCATCAACATACCCGTTCCTTCGCTCCCCCAATTCCGTCTCTCCCCCGCCTCACCCCACGCCTGAACCCGAACCGATTCGCCCCATCTTTTCAACTCCCAATCGCACCCGTCACCCGTGTCGCCACGCATTTTCGCATTTGCTCTAGCTTCCCTCACCAATTATAAACGCTCTGCACCTCTTTGTAACTACCCTTTCTCCTGCCCCTCCCTCTCGAGCTCTCCTGCCTTCCCACCCCACCAGTTTCCCTCCTCCGAGATTCAGTCCCACCAAGTTCGCACGCATCGCAAACTCATCGCCGGACCTTCGTCTGCATCCCTTGCCTCACGCGACTCACCTGCTTCCTCCCAACTTCATTTCCATAAGGCGCGTGTCTTCAGCCCAACTCTGCCCTGCACGGCACAGAACAGCACCCACTCACCAGCACACTAATCCATGGATCGGACCGCGCTGCGGGAAATTAGTTCACGATTGCTGCATACGCCGTCTCCCACGCCGTTTGTTCGTCTTGATCGTATAAATTGTCTGGATATGGCTGTTTCATCGGCATCGAACAGTGATACTTTGCTGGCTCTTATCGCAAAAACTTCTGCTTCACATTTATATTGGACCTTTACCGCATACATTTCATACGATCCTGTTCCACGGAAATTATCTACCACTGGAAGCATTCTGAGCGCCGAGCATCCTGAAACAAGCCGTATTGTCTCGCTCGAATCGTTTTAAACGGGTGCGTTTGCAACTATGGCGAGCACGCACTACGGCGCTTATCCCGGCCATTATCCCGCGGCGCCTCAAGCGGGAGCGTCTTATCACCAGCAGCCGGCTCACGGTGCTGCTCCTCCGCCTCCTTACGTTGCGCCTCAAGCACAAGTTCTGTCGCAACCGTATGCGGTCGTGGGGTCGCAGTACTGATTACCGTACGAGACTGTGCTTGTAATGAAGGAAAAGATGTTCTCGATAAGCGAAGCGAAGAAGGTCCAAGATACAAACAGGAATCTGCACTTCAAAGTCGCAAACAGGTGAGGCATCAATTTATTTCACGGAACCCTCTTTCAATTTTATTTCTTTAGTGTAGTTGTAAAAACAGGTCTTTCCGTCAGGCTTTTGCGTGAAGCTTTTTCCCTTTCCAAATGTTTTGCCTTGACTCTGCCACTGTTAAATATCAGTATTTACTAGACTAGCTATTCATACTCAACCTTTTTCCCATCTTCACCAATTCGGTTGTCCCGAACCAGGCTGCTATCCATTCCCAACAAGACGGAAATTCAGGACGCCACAGGAGCACCCGTGTGCATGCTAGTAGGCAAGGTGTTAACTCTGCACAACACCACCTACCTCTGCCCGGGGAGCAGCACAGAAACCGACGGTCACTTGCTTAGAGCCAGGAGGCCTTACATCACCTTGCAACCCGTTATTGAGGTGCGCTTGCTGCTACAGGGTCCCAAATATCGATCTGCCATTTTCTCTTTCCCAGTTTTATTTGTTACCTTCTCTTTCCTATTTTCTCTTCCTATCACTCCGTTCTCCATTCTCCATTTCTTCGGTGCCTAGTCTATTCTCCATCTTTGGTTTTTCTCTTCAACCTTATTCAACCTCTTGCGTCCACTCTCTGCTTGTAGGTGTTTTTACGGGGCAATGTAACAAAAACCCGGACATTTACCTTACTGGCTCCATTCTCCAGCATAACTTCAAGGTACTAGCATTCTCCAGCATAGCATCTCTTTTTCCCATTTTCGAGTGTGACAGATTGAACCGCTGCATCTGTTTGTATAATTTTCTTATTCAATGCTTGCTGTATCCACTTTCACCCTCCCCTGCCACCCTTATGACAGATCATCACCTGCAACGGCATGCTATAGGCCGAAGTGAACCCTGACATGTGCACTGCACGCGACCTTGTCTTTGGTGCCCAAACATACTTTGTGCGAATCTTGCCGAATGTGGACATGGCACTAGTTCTGGCTCTGGTTACTCTGGCAGACACCATGTATGTTAATAGAGAAGGGTCTCGCATTCCAAGCATTGAGTTAGTTTGAATATGGAACGTGAAACTTTTGAGTCTGATTCAGTTTATACCCCACTCTTTCCAGTTGAAAACATTTCAAGACCCTCGTAATACGGTTAAGTCAGAGTTGTCAAATGCTGAACTGAGTTACCGTATTCCCCCGGATAGAAGACCCCCCCAAAATACAACACCCCCGGGTACCTAATACGGGGGGGGTACTTTATTAAACCTCGATTTCGTTATACCCCCCTTTGGGGGTGATCAATATAAGACCCCCCCATTTCCCCATAGGGGGGTTTTTCATGTACTTTTCATTTGATTCACTTGAAACTGAGGCATTCTATAGTGCGAATTCGGCTTTCGGGGGCGAATTCCCGTGTCAGGGGGTTGATTTGCTGCGTCAGGGGGCCAGTTTGCTGCGTCAGGTGGCGAAATTGGTGTGTCAGGGGGGCGAAATTGCTGCGTCAGAGGGGCGAATTTTACTGTGACTGGCGAATTCGTTTTGACTGGTCAAGCGATCACCAAAAGCAAACCCACAACTCCAGTATTAACTCTGGTGTTGAAAACACTAAAAAAAAGTAATGCCATATGAAAAGACCCGGGTGTTATATTTTTTTTTCCTTTGTACAGACCCCCCCGATTTTTTCTAGGGATTTAGCATAAGACCCTAGGGTCTAATATCCGGAGGAGGAGGAGGAGGAGGAGGAGGAGGAGGAGGAGGAGGAGGAGGAGGAGGAGGAGGAGGAGGAGGAGGAGGAGCGGGAGGAGGAGGAGGCAGAAGGAAAAGGAGAAGGAGAAGGAAGGAGAAGGAGAAGAAGAGAAGAAAAAGAACTATCTGTTTGAATTATAAATTCTTATATAACTGCATACATGCTAGTTAGTGTAGTATCACATTCCTATTGTCCCATGGTGGTGCAGCCCTCCCTTTTGCCACCTATATCTTCTACCTTGCTTCTCAATGCAAAGCCCTCTTTGGCCAATTCCCCTTCTCTCGTAACTATCTCCATTCTCCTAGGCTATTTTTTTGTATGTTGTTGTTAGTGAACCCCCTTCTCTCTCAAAACCTTCTCGCCACTCACGTTCCTACTCTTGCCATGGCTCCTACTGCTAAGGCTGCTTTGACATGGTATTATGGATGTTTCCCTCCTAGGGACCTTATTTTTTCTTTAAGAAATATTGGCCCATCCTTCCCGTAGCCCCTAACGCTCTCTGCAGCAGGCCCTACGGCGCGACCCGCACGCCAGCGCGCGACTGGCACCAGTAGAGCGCTCCCTCCTTCCAGCTCGCGACCAGCAGCAGCAGCAGCGACCGCGTTTTCAGCCAGGGCGCGACCGGCAGCAGGAGCGCGCCCGCCCCTCGCCAGCGCATGACCAGCAGCAAGATCGCACATGCCTGCGCCAACCCGCTTCCCGCCGCCCCTCCACTTGCTGCGTCCTGCTTCGACGCGCGCTGTGGGGGGGGAGAGTGGCGGGATTGGAAGCCGAGGCCGCGGGGGTACTGAAGCCCCCTTGAACCCCATGCCCCTCACTTATCCTCCTCATCGCTGCAGTAGCATCTGCAGTGCATGCCGCGTTGGGGGGAGGGGGGGTGAAGGGGGGGGGGGGGGGAGTGGGGGGGAGAGGATGTGGGGATGGCGGGTATGTGAAGGCAGCCGCCCTTTTCCTTCTTCCTTTCGCAGCACTTCATCTTCACTACACCACTTCTCGCTACTCCTCCTCCTCCTCCTCCTCCTCCTCCTCCTCCTCCTCCTCCTCCTCCTCCTCCTCCTCCTCCTCCTCCTCCTCCTCCTCCTCCTCCTCGCGACCGTCGTTTTTGGGCGTGGTCGCCCCTGACGCGCACAACAACACCCGCTATGAGGGTTAAACCGCAGGCGGGCACATGCCGTGGTACTCAAACCACGGTGATCCCAGCTGCGGTCGGTGACTGCATCAGCTGGGTAGAGCGCCCCTCACTACCTAGTCCTACATGTAGTTAAGGGGGAATGTTAGATTTATAATCATATGTACATGCATGCTAGAATAGAAGTGTAGTATAATTTAGTTTCTCTGTTGGTGGTGTACCCCCTTTCCCCACCTTCCTTTGCATCTATATGTTGTGTTGTTGTTGTTAGTGAACCCCCTTCTCTCTCGAAATCCTCTCACCACTCACGTTCCTACTCCAGTCATGGCTCCTAAGGCTAAGGCTACTCTGACAGCGAGTCGCACAGTTGACTTTCGCTGCAACAAGGGAATGTGCCCCTTGTTAGAATAAGAAAGGATTATTGGATAGGAAAAGTATGCTATAGTTGGTAGCGAAAGGCTTTGTGGTAGGGACCTCGATCATAGTGAATGTATATGACAAGATTGATTAAAATGAAACATCACAAACAAATATATAGATCATCGCTAGCCATGTACCCTGAGAGGTACATTCCCTTATTCAACTGTAATACGCGTATTGCTACAGTAGCAGTGACTATTGTGATCCCTACAGTTATTGTTGAGAAGAAATTGCAGGAATGTGATTGAGTAAGGGAATGGAAAGTACAAATATGAACCCTAATGGGTTGTACTCTCTATTGAGTACCCCAGTACAGCCTAGAGCAACATATAATGTTTGACACACCCCCATAGGCTAAGTGGGGGACAACAAACGGCCACAAGACCAGTCAAGAGAAGGAGCAAAGCAAAGCCCAGGGTGCATATCAAGATCACCACACAGTCCGAGTACAAGCAATTGGCCACAAGGCCAATTCATATTTAGAGTTAATATAACAAAAGCAATACACTGAGTACAACTTAGCAAGTGTAAACATGCAATTATAAATATATATAACAGTGTACCACAAGTGCAGGGCGAGATCAAGAGACAAGCAGGTGAGACAGAGTAGGCACAAGCTTAAGAGCGGTGCAGAAACGTTGATGATCACCAGGCCTGAGGGCCTTGGTGAAGATATCAGCAGTGTTAGGCTTGTGAGGCCACGTAAGCAAGACGAAGCTAACCAGGCTGCTGAAACTCTCGTATGAAGAAGTAACGAAGAGCAATGTGCTTCGTTCTGTGCTCCAGTCTCTGCTCCCAACACAAGGCAATCATGACCTTGTTGTCGACGTACAAAACCGGAGGAGAACGAGACCAATCATCCAAGTCCGTTAGCGAGTAGGTCGGCCAGCGTAACCCCTGTGCAGTTATGGCCCTCACGTAGATCTCTGCCTCACTACCAGAGCTGAGAACATAAGACGAGCGAGTGGACCTCCATGAGACAGAACCAGAGCCGAGATTGAAAGTGTAACCGTGTGACGACCGCTGAGTCTCATGGCCGCGCAACACCCTCTTAGCAGCTGTTCAGTGCTCTTTTTGGTGTCTACCGGGAGCAACAAAGCGGGCCAGGATGCTGAGAGGGTACGTGAGGTCAAGTCGAGTACAAGTCATCAGGTACATGAGGCAACCTACAAGCTTTGAATACAAACCATTTGGCTCTACGGACTCGTCCGAAGGTGGAGGTGAGAGCGAGTGGCTTGTAGGCAGAGGAGTGGGCTATGGCAAGAGGAATGGAAGGCAGAAGCGTTGAAGGACCTGCTGCACCACGTGCGACTGAGTCAGAATGATGGTGCGCGCTGCTCTGTCTTGGCTGATTTGCAAGCCAAGTTAGTTGCGCAGCTCACCCAAGTCAGTACAAGCGTGTCTCTTCTGCAGCTCCGCCCTTACAAAGACCAGTGCCTCAATGTCAGTAGTTTCAAAGACCAAGTCATCGACATACACGAGGATGTAGAATGGCGGCAGTGAAGTGTCGGTGCGCAGAAACAACGACGGGTCAGCAGTCGAAGGAGCAAACCCAAGAGCCGCAAGTGTCATCGTCAGTATGTTTTGCTGCTCATGAGGCGCTTGGAGGAGACCATAGACTGGCCGTCGGAGACTCCAATGTGTGCCCTCAGGAAACGACCTAGTGAAGCCAGTTGGACGGCGTAGCTAGATATCCTCGTGAAGGCTACCTTGCAGGAAGCGAGTGTAGCTCGTAGTCACGCTGTATTGGAACGTCCAGTAACACCCGAAGAGTGGTCATCTTCGGGGTGGGGAAGAAGGTCTGGAAGAAGTCAACTCCCTGTCGCTGACTAAAGCCTCGTGCAACGTAACGCGCCTTGAAGACAGGTGGAGAACCCGACGGCCGCTTCACCCTGAAAATCCACATGCCATCGACTATGTTCGCCCCAGGAGGGGGAACTGCGTCGACGTAAGTGCCCGTGGACTTCCAGGATGCCATCTCTGCGTCCATGGCTGAATGCCCACTGAGAGGAGTACTGACCCAAAATCGTCTCTGCGTGAGAACGCGGGGTCAGGATGTCCTGTGGATCCGGGTCTCCCTCAGGGCAAAGCAACGTAGAGATAAGGTACAGCAGTTGCAAGGCACTCAAGCTCAAACTACCTGTCATCAAGGACGTCACTGCCAAGGGCAAGCTCAGCCCCGATGGTCAAAGAGCAGCCAGACTAGGAAACAAGTCCTGCGAAGTATTCAAGACGATAGGTAGCAGCAAATTCGACGAGCTCAGCGACTAAGGCAGACGCAACAGCAGACTCAAACGTAGGGTCAGTGATAAGTGTGGCTAGACAATGAGTGACATTCATACTAGCAGTTCGAGCAAGGTCAAACTCAGGGTCAGGAACGCTAGGAGGAGAGGACGCTGAAGGAGACAGCAGAGAAACACGCCGTAGAATAGAGGAAGGACGAAGTGCCATAGTGTGCATGCCCGGGACAGGCGGAGGACGAACACGACAAGTACCACAAACAGCGCGAACAAGCGAGGCAAGACGAGCTGCAGACTCACGACGCTCCGTCAGGGGATCTGTCTGCTCAGTGTAAGGAGAAGAAGCAGGCAAAGGGTAGTCAGGC